GGGCGGGGCACGGATGAGGGGAGCGCGCGCACTTTGATGTGGCAGCAACTTCAAAGAAGCCGCCCCTCCCGCGCGGGTCTGCGTCCGCCCCGGCTCTGCGCGCAGGCGGCGGCCTGTTTGAAGTGAGCCCCTGGGCAGGCGCCCCCAGGGCTGGGACCCGGGGCGCCCGGGGCGGTAGCGGTGCCCCCAGGTCCAGCTCTCCGCTCTCCCTGCGCTGTGCCTGGAGGAGCAGACTTTGAAGACTCCAGGGAGGCGGTCCTGGACTCTGCCAGGGAGCGCAGAAGAGGGGGCGGCAGTTGAAGGCGCCCCCAGACGTCCTTCCGGCCCGGCCTCAAGTCCAGGCCAAGGGACTGACGCGGATGGAGCTCGCGCGCTGCTGGCCTGCGGAGGACAGGGCTCCATGGCCTTTCTCCATTTATTCATCAGGTCTCTCTGCTGAAGGCGAGGCCCGCAGCCTCAGAACTTCCCCAGCCGCGCATGGGCCCCGGGGTGGGCAGGTGCGAAGGGAAGTCACTCGGAGAGAGTGCTGGGCAGCGGGCTGCAAAGCTGCCGGCAGGTGGGGGGAACAGCGGCAAGTGGGGGTGAGGCTTGGCTTCCGTGCGACCCCCCCGCTCCCTCTGCGCCAGCCCAGAGCACCGTGGGCCCTGTCCCAGCAGTCTCCCTCGGGCTTGGAGGGAGCCAAGAGCATCCCCCAGTGACGGAGGGTCCCTCCGCCAGGACCCCCCTGGGCCCTGGAGTCCCATCCCCCACCAGCCCCGTTCCTGGCCCTGCCCCCCCCGAAGGTGGGGGCTCCTGCAGAGTGTTCTGGACTCCGAGGGCTCTTCGGGCTGTGGGAGGCTCTGGGGGGGGAGGGGGTGCGGATGGGGCCCGGCATCCGGGCGCCAGGCCCCGCTGGTGGCGGGCCTCTCCTGAGGTTGGGGCTAGTGTCGGGGGTGTCTTGGCTTAGAGGTCACAGCGGGGATGTGGTGCAGGAGGCCGCCTGCTTGGCCCAGAGAAGAGGGGGTGCCTCGGAGCTCTGGCTCCCTCCCTGGGCGGGCCCCTCCCACTGCCCGGCGCCGGCTCCTGTCCGTGGTGCTGAAACCCGCCCAACCGCAGCCCCGGGGAAGGGCCGTTATTCGCTCGCTCCAGCGTCTCTGTTCTGCCCCCCGCCCATTTGCCCAGCACACCTGCGACTCCCCAAGCCTGTCCTGAGGGGGCGGCGGGGAGGCCTGCCTCAGGGCCGGCCGGCCGTGGGGCAGCTTCGCCCTGACCCCTCCGGCAGTGGCAGTGAGCAGCCTTGGGGCTGCGCAGGCCTGGCCTGGTCTTGTCTCCCTTGTTGAGGAAGGGAGGGGCTGTTGCAAGGGTCAGGGTTCAAGCGGAACACGCGGAGGGGCCTTCGTTCTGACTAGGTGGTGGGTGGCTGCAGCAGGTGGCCGCATCCAGGCCCAACCGCTGCCCAGGGCACCGCCCCGGGGTCTCAGCGGCCCATGAGGTGCCCTCCCCAGCACTGTGCCCGGTGCAGGCAGGGTGAGGGAGAGAGCTGGGCTTGCTGGTGCCAGCTCTCGTGGGGCGCAGACCCCCCCCACCTCCGGTCCTGTCCTTCCATCTCAAGCCCCCACGAGTGCTGAGGACGTTCGGGAGCTGCCTGTTCCCAGTGCATGAGGCCTGTGCTGCGTGTGGGTGGGCGTGAGGAGGGGCCCACCTAACAGTGGGTGACAGAAAGACGTGTGCTTACGTAGAAGAGTGAAAGTGTCAGCCACTCCCTCATGTCAGACTCTTTGTGACCCCAGGAACTGTAGCCCGCCAGGCTTATCCATCCATGGAGTCCTCCACGCAAGGATACTGGAGTGGGTGGCCATTCCCTTCTTCATGGGAACTTCCCGACCCAGGGATCCGACTCGGGTCTCCTGCATTTCAGGTGGATTCTTTACTGTCTGGGCCACCAGGGAAGCCCGTGCTTACATAGCATCCTCTGGAATGAACAGAAACCCTTCTGAAATGTACCAGGAGGGTGTGATGAGAGGAGACGGTGAATGCCGTGTGAGCCGACGGCCCCGTGCACAGCCCTCTGGGCCGCACACCTGCCGCAAGCCTGGTCGTTACAACAGTCTTGTTCTCAGCTCTGGGGGTCAGAAGTCTGCAGGCGGCTCTCTGACCTTCTGAGGGAGGTGGGCCCGGCCCCTCGCCCCGGCTGCCGGTGGCCTGTGGCTCTTGTGGAAGCACCGCCGTGGCCTGTCTCTGTGTCCGTGAGGCCTTCTCCCATGCCTCCGTCTGCCTTTCTCTGTGAGAGCCTTGTCGTTGGCCTTGAGGCCAACTTGTCCTACACGCAGGGTGATTCCTTCTGAAATCTGTGACTTAAGTGCCTCTGCAAAGGCCAGGTTTCCAAACAGGCTCACGCCTGGGGTCCAGGTATCGGGACGTGGGCCTCTGTTCCACCCCTGCGCAGCCGGGTTTGGGGCCCCAGGCGGATGCCTGCCCGCGGGCAGGAGCCGCTCAGCTGCCGCCTGGAGCACGCATCCTGCAGAACGAGGAGCCAGTGCCCTTCCTGGCTCCTTGTCCACAGCCGACACCTGCGGGTGGGGGGTAGGAGGAGAGCCAGGTGGGCACAAGGGGTGAACCCTCACACGAGTGGGGTGGCCTCCTGCCCACCCTGAGGACCCCCACACACCCAGGCAGACTCTGGAGGGGGCCGTGTCAGGGGAAGAGATGGGTCCATATGTCTCCATGGGGCATCACCTTGAGACAAGGCAGCAGGCTCCTTCGAGTGGTGACCCCCAGGATCCCAAAGGAAGCTGAGCTCTCATTAGCATCTGACCTTGGAGAAAAGAGGCTGTCCATTCTGCCACGTCCCACTGGCCACACAGACCAGCCCTGGTGCAGCCTGGGAAGGACCATACTGCCCTGGGGGCCACCGGGGGTCCCTGGGGAGGGCCACACTGCCCTGGGGGCCACCGGGGGTCCCTGGGAAGGACCACACTGCCCTGGGGGCCACCGGGGGTCCCTGGGGAGGGCCACACTGCCCTGGGGGCCACCGGGGGTCCTTGTGGGGCTGCATTCTGCTGAGGTGAACAGACAGCAGGGTACCGAGGTGGCAGGTGCAGACACGCGTGGTTCCTCGAGCCGGGCCTGCACCTCCTGCCTCATCACTCCTGCCTGGTAGAGCCTGGGGAGCCCCTCAGGCCCGCCCTGGTCCTGCCTCCCCCCCTTTGGCTGCCCCCTGGGTGGCACAGGCTCCTCTCTGGGCCTCGGGCTCATGGAGAACCTGGGCTCCTTCCTGAGTTCTACCTCCACAACCACCCACCCTCTCTCCATCAAGAGGGCACATGTGAGCCCCGGTGAGGGTGGGCTGGGGTCCCTGGGCTGGCATTCAGGTGGGGGAAGTGTGGCCAGAGCAGAGCCGGGACGCTGCAGGAGCAGCTGAGACTCCCACTCAGCAGGACCTCCTAAGAGGAGCCACTGGGCTGGCCTTGGGTGCAGGGCCTGGGGAGCTCTGGTCCCGGGGATGGTCACGGGCAGCCCGCAGGCTCTCCGCAGTACACCAGAAGTGTCCCCTCCCAGAGTGGGGACTCAACCCTGTCCTGCCCCTTCTCAGTTACGTTAACAAGCCGTGCCTGCCCCCACTGCCCTCCGAGCTCCCCAGTGCCAGCATGGGACGCCAGCTGGGAGGCGGGGATGGCTCAAGGTGGCCAGCTGTGCTGACTCATTTCCCCAGGAGCCAGTGTGGAGTGGCATCCCCCGCCCTCGTCCAGGGAGAGCCCCGCAGGAGGGGCGGCGGGCTGTCCGTTCCATCCACCTCGGGAAAGCAGCGTCCCCCACACCCCCACGGCGAGGTGTGCAGAGACGGCGGAAACTGGGTCGCCATCAGCTGTGCCTGTGGCCCCGGGGAGCTGGCCACATGGTCCAGTGGTGCAGTGACAGTCATGGGGAGGGCTGGCTACCTGCCCCAGGGTCAGTGGCCTTTAGGTAGCCCCTTGAGCGTTAGCGGCTGGACGCTGGTGTCTCCTGAGGCACCGAGAGGGGCTCTGGCGGGGGAGGGGGGTCCAGGCTGCCCTTCCCTCTTCCTGGCTCCGCGGAAGGCTGAAGGGAGGGGCCCCCGGGTGCCTGGCGCTGGGCTCTGGTGCGTCCTGTCCCCTCCCGCTCATCCTGGTCACCGGGCCCGAGCCCCCAGCACGGGGAGGCCGGTGTGGGCACAGGGAGGGGGCTTCGCAGGAGCGGATGTGGCCCATCCCTCAAAGACCTGGGGTCGTCAGAGACCGAGCTGGGTGTCCGGAGCCCCTGCTCCGTCAGCACCACGGACAGCGGCCGGTGGGGGGCGACGCTGCGGCGAAGTGGGTTCCAGTCCGCCTCCGCCTGCGCGCCCTTCCTGAGTGCAGAGTGACTCAGATCGACAGTGCCCACTCGGCGCTGGGGCCCTCCCCCTCCTCTAGAGCCTCCGGCAGACAAGCTGACTCCCACCCTTTCATGAGCCTTCACCCTCATTTGGGGGGCGCGTGGCAGAAGCCACAGGAGGGGTCTCGGGTGGAGTGTAGGTGGACGGCCGGGGGGCCTCGCTCAGAATGCAGGACGGGGGAAGGTTGCCTGGGGAGCTGAGCTGTGCTGCCCGCCCGTGGGGGCTGGGGCCCAGGGCAGCCCACCTCGGCTGGGCACCTCGAGAACTCGGCGAGGGGACCTGGCGCCTGTCCGGCCAGGCCTGCAGACGCTCATTGCTCAGGGAAGGGGGGGAAGCAGTGCTGGAGGCTGGGGCGCAGTCTGGGGAGTGTCCCCCGCCATGTCTGCAGGGAGGGGGGTCCCCAGGCAGTCCTGCTGTGCCCTCCCTCTTCGGCTTCAACTTCCTGCGGGGCCACAGGGCTGGGCCTGGGGTGAGAGGTCCCCTCCCTCTCAGGTGCAGCAGCAGCACCTGTCCAGACCTCCGTCCAGCCCCAGGCAGCGCACCCCTGGGTGCGGTCCCTTGTACTCTGTCCTGTCCTCTGAGCTGGTCCCTGCGTTGCTGAGCCCTCCGACAGGGTCTTTTCCGAAGGACCATGACCAAGAAGAAAAGGGAGGTCAAGGGTGACCAGAGGGCCTGGGTGAGGGCCACCCCACCCGGCCTCTGACCCCTCAGGCCCTCCAGCTTTCTCCCTGTGGGTCTGAGGCCCCAGGGCCGTAGCCTGAGCCGCGGAGCCTCCCCCTCCTGCTCCCCCCGCTCCCAGGTCCCCAAGGCTCTGCCAGCCTTCCTCCAGTAGCTGGGGGCGGGAGCCGGGCGCCTGCCGCAGAGGGTGCTGAGCCTGGCCTGGAGGCTGCCCCGCCTCCTGTGACTGCCTCGAGGCCCGCGGGCCCAGTGGCTGAGGGGAGGGCTGGGCCGCCCGGGTAGGGAAGGGGCCTGGGTGCGGGGTTCTGCCCTCAGCCGGCAGCCCCTGGGTCCCTGGACTCCCCAGGCTGTGCTCAGGAAGCCTGCAGGGGGGTGTTGCCCATGTCCATACACGCACATGGGTGCCTGCTGGGGTGCGGCGGGGACCCCGTGGCTGGGCCCAGGCGCTGAGGAGCCCTCCCTGCAGCCCTGGGCGCATGCCGCCTGAGCAGGACTGCCAGCTTCTCCAGCAATTATCTGTGACACTGTGTACTTTTCTTCTCTTGACTGCCTGAATTTGCTGTAAAGACAATAATTAGAGATCAAGTCACAATTGGAAAATGAGCCTGAGCAGTTGGAGGGCTGGTAACTAGGGCGGCCCTGGGCTTCCCTCACAGGCCCTCCCGAGGGTGTGCTCTGCCCCCCCGGCTCCGGGGAGGTGGTGGGGCTGCTTGAAACCCAAACCTCCTGCCCAGAGGGCCCTGGGGCTGCAGGAGACGGGCATACCCAGGGGCCCAGAAGTGCCATCTGACAGGGGCGCCTGCATGCTGGCCTTTGCAGGGTGTGTAGGAATCCGTGCACAGCGGACTTTTGGGGACAGGGGCAACAAGCGAGAGAAGATGAAGGCAAGGAGGAAGCCACCAGGGTTCTGGGACATGGCTCAGGGCAGCCCGCTGCGCCCTGGCCACGTGTCCCTGGTCCCCGGGCACAGAGCAGCTCCCCGCCTGCGTGGGGCGTGTCCCGGGCGCCCTGTCCGCTGGGTTCTCGGTCCTCCCCGCCCCTGTGTGCCGTCAGCAGACTGCCTGCTGTGATTATCGGGGTAGGGAGGTGGCGGCAGTCACCTCACAACCCACTTATGGGGCCGTCGGCGTCGCCCCCCCAGGCCGCTATTGAGGTGAAGCCTGTGATCTCTCATTGGCCATGTGTCTCTGAGTCCTGCCTCCTGAGGATGCGTGTGTAGGGGTGTGTGTGTGCGCTTGTGTGCTAGGCCCCCGTGCGGGGTGTGAGGCTCTGCCATAGGGCTGCTGGTGACGCCCCAGGAACTCTCCCCTGTTGTGTCTGCAGTTTGTCCCGCGTCTGCCCTGGGCCTCAGAGGGGCTCACGTCCCACGGAGCAGCTGGGCCACTGTGGCTGCGGCTCCTTGAGGCCTGTTCACCTTGTCTGGGGGAGGGGTCTGTGCCAGGCCCCGTTGCCACCCTGGAGGCCGTCCTGGAGGCGTGGAGGCCCTGGGTCTTGGCTCTGAATCACAGACGCCACTGCTCGCTCTGCTGTCTCCTGACCTGAATCACAGGCTCAGATCAAAGGCAGCTGGTGAGAGCCCCAGGAGCCACAGCCCTTCCCCGGCGGGAGCTGGGGCTCAGCAGGCACCCCTGCGGGGCCTCCGTCCTTCGCCGAGCTGAGGAAGGGCGGGCTCAGGGCTCAGGACTTCCACCAGGCCTGGTCCCCGGCCCTTGACCGGCCTCTGGGGAGCACAGATCACCTCCCAGCCACCTGCGAGCTCACTGACCATGGGTGAGGCTGCAGGGGGGCGGCGGGGAGGAGGCAGCAGGCGGGGAGGAGGACGCAAGCTGCTGGGAAGGTGTGAGCACTCATGAAATGACCCCAGTGGTCAGATAAAGAGACACATGCCCCTTAGGGGAACCTGGATGTGGCAGAAGATTTGCTTCCCAAGCAAAGGGCTTTGCAGTTTTCTGAGAGCTGCCCCACAGCAGCATCCAAAGGGGCAAGTGCAAACCCAGCTGGTTGGAGCCACGAGCCGCGTCGAGGTCGAAGTTAGAGCAGCACAGAGCGTGAATGAGACGCGTCCGCCCAGGCTGAGCACAGGCTGCAGTGCTGGGAGCCCCGCATCTCCCCCGGGGCTGCCTCTGGGCTCCCACGTGCTGGAGGCGGCTCCAGCTGTGGTGGTCACCTCCGTTCTTATTGGGGAATGTCCAGGTGGGGCCCAGGCTGGGGAGGGGAGAGCAAAGAGTGCCTGGGTCTGAGGCCACAGAGGGCCCAGGAGGCCAGGAACCAGGCTGGGGAGGCAGAGAGGCTGTCATGGGCTCTGCCACTGAATCTTCGAGGGAGGGCGGGTGGTAGGGCCAGGTGCCTGGCTGTGCCCACGTGGCTGGGAGGCAGCGAGCAGGACTGAGGGTCCCTGCTGGTGACAGCAGAGGTGTGCTGACATCATCCTGCCCGGGTAGGGGCCCTGCGCCTGCACCCACGTCCTGGGCGAGCGGGTGCCCGGGGAGGGGCCCTGCGCCTGCACCAGTGTCCCAGGCTAGTGGGTGCCTGGGGAGGGGCCCTGCGCCTGCACCGGTGTCCCGGGTGAGCGGGTGCCCGGGCAGGGGCCCTGCGCCTGCACCGGTGTCCTGGGTGAGTGGGTGCCCAGGGTCCCTCAGGCCAGAAGGAGGGTGATGGGTAGTGGTGCAGGGTTGGTGAGGCCCAGCGTTGGCGGGGGGGGGNGGTAGGGGGGTTTGCCGTGTGGGACTGGGTGTCGCCCTGGCTCCCCACTGAGGTCTGGGGAGGGACTCTAGGCGTCACTGGCGAGGAAGTGAAGGCCGGACTGAGGCCAGGCTGGAGGACGCTGTGTGGCGTGGGGCAGGGACTGTGCTGGGGGCAGCCTCTGGCTGGTGCCTGAGGAGTGGGGGCAGAGAGCTCCTGGGGTCTGGCTCAGGACGTGCCAGGCGGGGCAGGGGCTGAGTGAGGGGCCCTGAGGGCAGGGTTCGAGCCACGGCCTGGCTGTACAGGGTCTGAGGCCTGCTGTCCCCCCAGGCCTGGTGAAGCTGGGGATCCACTGTGTCACGTGCCAGAAGGTGGCCGTCAAGATCGTCAACCGGGAGAAGCTCAGCGAGTCTGTACTGATGAAGGTGAGGGGGGAGGGTGGGGGCCCTGCCGCCGGTGACCGGGTTGGGGGCAGGAAGTTCAAGATGCTCCAAGATACCTGGGTGGGGAGCTGGGAGCTCACGGAAGGGGACCCGGGGGTGGGCGGGCAGGGACCGGGCACAGTTGGGGGGGGCAGGGGGCAGGGACCAGGCACAGCTGGGGGACAGGGAGACCCCCCGGGGGAGCCCCCAGTGACGGCGGTCCCCCGCAGGTGGAGCGGGAGATCGCGATCCTGAAGCTGATCGAGCACCCCCACGTCCTTAAGCTGCACGACGTCTATGAAAACAAAAAATATTTGTAGGTATTGCTGGGTGCGGAGAGCGGGGCGGGGCCACCTGGGGGCGGGGCCTGCAGGGCGGGGCCTCCTGGGGGTAGTGCTCCGGGGGCGGGGCCTCGAGGGGCGAGCGTCCGGGAGTAGGACCTCCTGGGGACAGTGCTGGGGGGCGGGGCCGGAGGCAGGGGTCGAGGGGCAGGAGCCACTCAGGCCGTTTCCCCTGCCCCGTGACCCTCGCGCAGCCCCCGCATGCTCCTCACGGGCGTGGGGACCCCAGGCTGGCTGGCTGCACCGTCGCCACGGCCTGCTGTCCGTCTGCGGAGCGTGGCTGCCCTTCCGTCACCATCGAGGCCGGCGGACCTCTCACTGCGTGCAAAGCCTACGCGCGTGCCCCCTCCCGCGCGTGGCCTCAGCGAGCGCACCCGGGGTGGGGCCGCCCGCTCACAGGTTCACTAGGGGGCGTCGGTTCTGCTGCTGCCGCGGGCGTGGCTGGATGCAGGGCCCGCGCCCTTCTTGGGACAGCGGCGGAGCGAGGGAGTGAGGGCGGGACGCCGGCCTGGCACCGCCCCTCAGGCCCGTGGCCCCAGCCCTCGGGGCCTCAAGCCCGGCCCTGACTGCGCCCTGATGCACGCAGGCCGGCCAGCCCCGGGGGCTCTGTCCTGGGCAGCCCTGGGGGAGCAGGGGGCCCAGCGCCCCACCAACAGCCCCCTCCGAGTGTTCAGTGGCAGACGGTGTGACAAGCCGCCCCCATGGGGCCCCGGGAAGAACAGCGCCCCCGCACCTCAGGCCTGGGGGCTGAGGGAGGTGGGGGTGGTTCTGGGCCCCCAACACTGGTGAGCTAGAGCTTCCATCAGGACCACGATGAGGGGCGCGACCCATGGGTCTCCCCTCCTGTCTACATCACCCCTGTTGACCTGATTGAGGACCCACCTGGTCGTGTCTCGGTGACAGCCTGTGAGCCTGGGGTGCGGGTGGGTGCTGGGCAGGTCTGGCCCACGTCTGCCTACACACAGGAGACAGTCACGTGTCCTGCTGTTCTAATACTTATGGGGCTGCTGGGCAGAGAGTGTGGCTCCTGGGAGGCTGCCCAGGATGAGCTAGAAGCAGGGAGGGACCAGGGATGGCAGGCCAGGTGGGGGATACGGTCAAGACAGGCTGGGTGACGGGACAGGATGCTGGGAGGTCACAGGCTGGCCAGCCTGGTTGCTGCTGGGCCCAGCACCCTCCCGGGTGCCAGGGTGGGCCAGGAGCCTGGAGGTGGGAGCTCAGACGGGGGTCTTTGCCCCTGAGCTGGGGCACCTCCTGGACCCCTCTCAGGAACAGGGCAGGCCCTGGGAACCGCCCCTCTCCCCGCTGACACCCTGTGTCCCCACCCCGTGTCCCAGGCCCTTCCTCCCCCAACTCCTCCTCGCCACACACAGGCCCCCTCCACCAGCCCCTCCATTTCTGTAAGACCAGCTCCTGATGCCACCCCCCCCCCAGGCCCACACCTCCATCCCTGCCTGCCCTGGTCCCACCACATGGTCCCTGTCACCCCCTCCTGTCCCCAAGCCCCCTCAGACCACCAGAACCACCCTTGCCCGGCTCCCACCAGGGGTTCCTCAGGGTCTGTGCTCAGCCTGAGTCCCAGCTCCTCTGAGAACCACCNCACCCTGGCCCCTCCTCCCCAGGCCCTCCGCCTGCCCTACAGCACATCTTCCCAGACCAGCTGTGCCCTGCCCGCCCCCATCCCTTCTGAGGTCTGCCCTGCTGGCCCCCGGCTCCCTCAGGGCCTAAGCATCTGATGTGTCCTCGCTCATTCAGGAGCCCAGAAAGGGCCTGGAAGGACCAAACCTCAGGCTCACGAGAGGGTCAGCTACCTCAGTGCTCTCTGGCCTTGAGGCTCAGTGTGGGCCTGTTTCTTGGGCCTGCCAGGAGGGGAGTGGGTGGGCGCCCACCTGCCGAGGGGCAGTGCTGGGACCAGGTGGTGGTCCACCGCTCTGGCCAGTGGTGCCCTGGCTGGGTGCACCCACCCGATGCCTCCCTGCCCCCTGCAGATACCTGGTGCTAGAACATGTGTCTGGTGGAGAGCTTTTTGACTACCTGGTCAAGAAGGGGAGGCTGACCCCCAAAGAGGCCCGGAAGTTCTTCCGCCAGATCATCTCTGCGCTGGACTTCTGCCACAGCCACTCCATATGGTGTGTGCCCCGCCCACCAGGTGCCCTGCCCCCACCAGGTGCCCCTCTGCCCCTCCAGGCACCCCAGTTCAGTTCAGTTGTCAGTCGTGTCCGACTCTTGGCAACCCCATGGACTACAGCACGCCAGGCCTCCCTGTCCATCACCAACTCCCAGAGCTTACTCAAACTCATATCCATTGAGTAGGTGATGCCATCCAACCATCTCATCCTCTGTCGTCCCCTTCTCCTACTGCCTTCAGTCTTTCCCAGCATTAGGGTCTTTTCCAGTAAGTTAGCTCTTCGCATCAGGTGGCCAAAGTATTGAAGCTTCAGCTTCATCATCCTGACTCCCTTTAGGGCGCAATGGTTGGATCTCTGTGCGGGCGCCCCAGGCGCCCCACTCCCCACCGAGTAGCCCCCATCCCTGCTGCTGTGCCTCCGCCAGCTCTTGCACTCCCCCCGCCCCCCACTGGATCAGACAGTATATCCCTACTGACCCCCTCGGGGCATCAGAAAGCTTTCTTCCAGCTCCTCACCCAAATCTCCGTGGTGCTTTCAGAGGCCCCGGGGCCGGTGCATCTTTGGTCTGGGGGCCCCAGGTTGGTGCTGGCCCAGAGCAGGTGTGGTGGGGGAAGGGCCCAGAACACGTGTGAGGTGTGGTGGGGGAAGCAGGAAAGGGGAGAGACTAGGGAGTAAAGCAGAGCGTGCCCATCGCTGGCAGCCCTGTCCACCCATGCTGCCACCCTGCAGCCATCGGCCCGAGGGAGACTTCCGATTGGCCGCTGGTGACGTCAGCAGGCTGCGCTGCCATTGGCCTCGTGCTGTGAGGGCGGGGTTTTAGGGGGGCCGAGGGCTCCCGCGGCGGTCAGCCTCAATCCCGCCTTCCTTCCAGCCACAGGGATCTGAAACCAGAAAACCTTCTGCTGGACGAGAAGAATAATATCCGGATCGCAGACTTCGGCATGGCGTCGCTGCAGGTTGGCGACAGCCTGCTGGAGACCAGCTGCGGGTGAGCTGAGCCCCGAGCCGGCCTCCGGTTCTACACGGGCTAGGACGGTGGCCGCAGCCCGGCCCCATGGCTGCCCCGCCAGGTGGCCCCAAGGCCTAGGCTGCAGGCAGGGGCTCGGCTCCCCCGTGGGGCTGCCGGGGCGGGGATAAGGCGTGCCCCGTGGTCCTGCCTCTGTCCGCCGGCTCCTTGGGTCCCTGGCTCCCGGGAGCATGCAGAGGGTATGAGGCTGTGGGAGAATTGGCACCAAAGCCCTGGGACGCCCCGGTAGGGCATCCACGCCAGGCAGAGTCTGGAGGCATGGAGCGGGGGTCACCCCGCCCTCAGTCTCCACCTGCTGCCGTACTGCGGGTCAGCCCAGAAGTCCAGGGGATGGGATGGCCGGGGCATGGTGCGTCCTGAGCCTCCTGCCCTGACTTCGGCTTTGCCTTCAGGTCGCCCCACTATGCCTGTCCAGAGGTGATCCGGGTAAGTAGCCACCCCACCCCAGCCCCTGTCCACACAAGGGGCCTCCCTGTCCCGGTGATTGCAGACCCCCAGGTCGGGGCCTGGCCGCCTGTCCGAGGCGCCGCCCCCGGGGCCAGCGCATCCCAGACCCTCCGTCCCCGCAAGAATTCCGGCCCTGCGCACCCGCCAACCCCAGGACTGTCCGCAGGGGGAGAAATACGATGGCCGCAAGGCAGACGTGTGGAGCTGCGGCGTGATTCTGTTCGCGCTGCTGGTGGTGAGGCTCCCTGCGCCCGTACCCCGCCTCGTCGGTCCTCCCGGCGCCCCTCGTCCCCGCACCTCCTCCTCCATTGCCCCCATCCCCCCAATCCCCGCCCCCTGCTCCCC